ATCTGTCCACTTTTTCAGCAAAATAATATTTAATTAGGAGCCAGAGAAACAAACATTAGCTTACATGGGAAAGATCAGCAACAACAACATCATTATTTTCATGGCTTCTGACAATCAAAATTCATTTTTTTTAAATAACTGCAACCTTTGAGATCTAGAAAATTTGGACACTTCTTGGCCTTCACCAATCGTTTTAGTATCTCCAAACGAATGAAGAAAATCTATCTTTAAAAGCAGTTTCAAAGTATCTACCATATTTCTTCTAAGATCTGTTTCTTGCTCTTTTAATGCCAGTTTCTGTTACCGAATATTTATCGATACCTTGCTGTTTACCCAGACAATATTTAAATCAGGTACAGCCCTCAGCCTCACTGTCTGGAAATAAGGACAATTACAATTCAACATGAAGGTACATGGAAGCTAGCAATATACAAGGGGTAAGGCATATATGTTAACAGAAAAGAATTTGTGACTAAGATTATTCCTGGATTTTCAGCCAGTGCCCTTTATCCTGGATCAATTTCCCAGGCCAGAGGCTTTACTTTATATTCATTTTAATTCTATATCAACTTTTACGTTATAACAGTAACTACCATTCTAGTTTTTTAAATTCAATCTTCCTTACTGCAATCTTTAGTGAGTAAGAGCTTATAAACTGCAAAGTCAATTCCTTTATCTTACCTCAAAATCATTTAGTTAATCATCTTTAAACAAATACTTTAATGAACCAAGCAGTTTCTATATACCCAAATCCTTGGGTAGTTATTTTAATAGAGGAAATATTCCTTTTGGTGAGGCCAATAACCACCCCTGAATATGTCTTCTAAATATTTCATATATTAGGAGTCTTTCAAAATGTAGCCCATCAGCATTCTGATGAATGGCATCATATTCATCACCAAAAAACAGAAATTTATGCTCAGTCCAAATTCAAAACAAAATAATTAATCACCTTTATTTCTAACAACTTTTCTTCTAAAGAATTTTCTCAAATGTATAAGAAAAAAATAAAACAAATCACTAAAGTTTTATTAGATACTGACACCCAAAATAGAATTCCACCACATGCGTATTCTGGGGTCTGGACTCTGGCTGGTTTATATTTTATTATATCTAGTACAGAGCAAACTTGTGGGGATATTCAATTTGTATCACTCACAATAAAACACTTTTTGTTACTTACTGGCCTACATATTATTTAAAAAAAATACTACCTACTATATAATAATAATTAGGCCTGACCATCTGTCTTCAATGTGACTGAAGTAAAAGAAATACATAACTTACAAGGTAATTCTAAAAGTAATGCAATGTACCCTGTATTAAAACTCAAAGTGCTCAGTTACTTTGATTAAGGTGAATTATAAAATCTTTATGGAATAATTTTTCTCCATACGGGAATGTGCAGCTATCAAGTTATAATATTTGTCCTCAAAATCTTCATGAGCCTAGTCCAAAAGAACTCATTGCACTCCATCCATTAAAAGTTACCAAATTCATCATGATTGGAATTATCCATTACAATTATATTAAATAAATTCATCTAATCAAGGAGAGATGGTCAGCTTTACAAACCATCTAATTTATATTAACACACACGCACGCACACACACACACACACTCCAGCATCAAATAACTTGAAAAAAAGTTTATGGTACTTTCTCATATGGATAGCTTCAATTTTCATTTTAAGAACCCAAACCCTTGCCAAATACTTGTTTTTATCTAAATTAAATATGATAAATCTTACTCTATATAGTACATTTATAAACATCTTGTCTCTAATTCTAAATTTTCATCCAAAAGTCAGTTTAGAATACATATTCCCATGGAAGCAGTGTTATAAAATTGTTCCCAAATTAATCCACAAGAGCGTGTCTAAACAAACACAAGGGATTATTTGGAGGTGTTAGAAATGCTCTAAAATTGAGAAGTGATGATAATTGCACAACTCTAAGATGACTAAAAATCATTGAATTTTACACTTAAAATGAGTGTATGTAATGGTATACAATTTATACCTGGAGAGAGGTTTTTTTGACAAAGCCTATCCAAACTATACAAACCATTAAGTACATAAATGTTTGTATGTTTTCATACAGTGGTGACCTATGCTTCCATAAAACGAATTATTACAGTTGAGTTGTCCTAAGGAAATGACCTAAGGGGCACCTGAATGGCTCACGTGGTTAAGTGTCTGACTCGATTTCGGCTCAGGTCAGGATCCCAGGATTATGGGATGGAGCCCTGCGTCAGGCTAGGTACAGAGCGTGAAGCCTGCTTAAGATTCTCTCCCTCTCTCTCGGCCCCTCCCCCCACTATTGCTCTCTAATAAAAAAAAATATTTAAGAGAAAAGAAAACCACACAAGAAACAGGAATTTGATTTATAAAAAAATTAATAATTCTACCTTTCTGAATTCTACCTTTGACCAAAGGTAAACTTAATTAGAAGATTAGCAGTTTTGTTACAGAACGGGTATCCTAGTTCAAGTAATTTAAAAATAGCCTTATCCATTTCTCTCAGACCTTAGATTATGCATAATTTTCAACTATATTCATCACTCTGTACATGACACTTTTTTTAAAGGGTGCTGTTTAAACAAATAAATAAGAGGAGAAAAAAGCTCTAACGTGGCAGCACCTGCCCATCCCTCTTTACCTCAGTTACTTTCTCATGATCCCTAGGCTCTTCCAGCAGAACAGACATGCTGGGTCATACAGAACATGTTACCGATCCTTCTCAGACAGTGGCTTGGCTGAGTTGGGTCTGCATATTTTCAGTTACCTGGCTGTTTTCACAGCGGAAAGTGTCAGAAATTTTGTCTGTTTGGTTCACTGATATATCCCAAACACTAACAGTGCCTGACACACAAGTCTTCCATTTAAAATGTTACTGTTGTCTTTTTGTCATGCTGGGTCTTAAAATATCATCTAAATAAATAAATGCAACTGCAGGCAGCTTTCAGATATCTCGAAGTATCCCTTTCCTTAAGAAAAACAAACTGGCACCTTATTAAACCAATTTTTCCCAAGGCTAAGTCCTGGATTGGGGGATGGGGGAGGTGGAGTGGGACAGGAGGGTAAAGGTAGAAGGAAAGAGGTTCTTCCGAAAACACAAAAGGAGGCTTAAGAACCTAAAACCAGGGGCGCCTGGGTGGCTCAGCTGGTTAAGCGTCCGACTTCCCCTCAGGTCATGATCTCACGGTTTGTGGGTTCGAGCCCCATCAACTCTAAAGTTGACAGCCTTTGAGCCTGCTTCATAGGACTCTGTAAGGTCTGCCCCTTTTCTGCCTCCCTCCCCGTTTGCCACGCCTCTGTGTCTGTCTCTCAATAATAAATAAACTTTAAAAAAAAAAAAAAAAAAAAAGAACCTAAAACCATTACTGGCTCATATGTGGTAACTTGTACAAGGAGAATTTGCCTCGAAATGAAAATCAAAACGTACATGTGGCACCTTCAAGCTGACCAAATTGGCTATTTGAAGTCCACCATATTTTAAGTTTTTTTTTTTAATTTTTAAATGTTTATTCATTTTTGAGAGATGGAGAGAGAGCATGAGTGGGGGAGGGGCAGAGAGAGGCGAGACAAACTGAGGAGAGGTGAGAGGCCCGGCTCTGAGCTGTCAGCACAGAGCCCAATGCGGGGCTCAAACTAGCAAACCGAGAGATAAGGACCAGAGCCGAAGTTGTACGCTTAACCAACTGAGCCACCCAGGTGCTCCTCCGCCATACTTTTAAACCAAAACATACTCAATATTTAATCTAAACAGTTATTGTGAGCTTTCTACTCTTTTCCAAAGGTAAATATATATATAATAATAGATTCTGTATAAAAATTCCCAGTACTTAAGCTGACACCAGCTATCCTACATCTCATGTTGTAAGAAGAGGTTAGCTATAAGCAGAACTTTATTTTTTTTCCTCCAAGATATTAAGGAAATTCTATGGGGCACCTGGGTGGCTCAGTCAGTTAAGCGTCTGACTTTGGCTCAGATCATGATCTCTCGGTTCATGAGTTCGAGCCCCACATCTGGGTCTGTGTTGACAGCTCGGAGCCTGGAGCCTGCTTTGGATTCTGTGTCTCCCTCTCTCTATTCCTCCCCCGCTCATACTAGCTCGTTCTCTCTCACTCTCTCTCTCTCAGAAATAAAGAAACTTTAAAAAAAAAGGGTATTAAGGAAATTCTAAAGAAGCAAGTAATGTAGACCTTCTCAAAACTTTTAATGGTTGATGGCAGCGGGACTTTATTATGTGTATTTTCATTTCAAAATTTATGCCTTTCTTATATACATATTTGTATGAAATACATTACTCTTACTTATATCTGCAGTAGTAATGGTTTGGGATTTTCAAACTGAGGAAGAGATTCAAATAAGCTTTCCTAAGTTAGAGGAGAAAATGCATGGGGATTTGAAATAAGCAATTAATGACCAAAACATAAAAATAAAAAGGTGAAGAAAATGGAAGAAAGAAAGTAGCAAACACTAATGACTCATGACAATTTGACATTATAAAAACATGCAGAAAGAAGGTAAAAGAGGACAGTGGGCATTCCAAATCAAGGAGAAGGAAAATAAAACAGTATACAAAAAGATACTCACACACTGAAAAGACTTTTCTTCCTTAAAAATAGACTTTATTATTTCTCACTTATAACTTTTCATGATCCGTTTCCTCCTGGTCAGCCAGGACCCACTGAGTTATTTTCCTCAACAGAAAACCTCAACATGATCTTTCTTCCATCTCAGGTCAGGATTAAAAGACGGATTTCACAAAAATGCTAGCTCATGCTATACTTTCTCATTGTTGCTTATGGTAACTCATTAGATTTGATGCATTACACAACTATGTTAGATGATGGTTTTCTAATTATGAGTAAAATCTACTTTTTAAGTTAATGATTCCTTGTGAATAAAATAAAAATAATCTGCAAATATGAATTTCAACTTTTTAATAATAATTTAATGTAGACTTAAAAATTCGTAAGTTATTTCTCTTACCACTCAGTAAACAAAACAACCAAATCCTCTTGATTAGCATAATGTTCCATGACTTCTTTCATTAATCTCACTTTTTGGCCCCCTCCAATACTATTAATTCCAGCACCACCTCTCCACTCTTCTCCTTGACCAAGGACCTATAAATGAAATCAACATTTTGTCACTGAGCAAAACTCAAGTTATAGCAGTATCACAGAAGTCATCAGCAACTTGTACAATAATACACAGTATCCACTCTTCAAACATTTCACTAAATCACTAAATCATGATGCTACAGAGAAAAAACACTTGATGCCTAGTTCAGGTCTTGATTCTTCAATGTTATCCATCCCATAAAATGTCATTGCTGATTTTACCATTTCAAAAGTAGAATCTAATCCAAGGAGGTCAAGGGGGGTAAGGAGCACAGAAAATATTTCTCATATCTTATTTCTACTTGTTCAGACTAAAGTGAACAAGAAAATACAGAAACTTCCCATAATGCTTTTCAATCTGACAGGAAATCTGTACGATGAACACCAAAGCCAAGTCCAGAAGAGTTTTGGACAGGACTCTTAAGTGATTTTCTTACTGAAGCAAATCAGCTGTTCAAGGAAACACAGAGGGCATCAGGTCAGATGTCACGTTCTTTATAAAGTTTAAATTTACATTGCCCTCAAAAACTTAATAACAATTCATTAATGCAAGGAATTGCCCAAGCACAATTAATCAGAGCTAAACTTGTAGCTGTTCTCCTCACGGTCTGCCTCAGCCTCAGCAGCTGTCTCCCATATTGGAAGTACACGGAACCACACCTGGCTGTGAGGGAGCAGCAAGTATAGGTTCCCCTCCGCCACACACACACCCTGAATTTTAATTCCATCACAAATTCGGATGTTCCCAAGATAATGATTTTACTAGGAGATTTGTGAAATTAAGGGAGAATGAAATTAAACACAAGAGAAAGGGTAAGATAAATTTAGAAAATAATTTTTTATATCAAGATAGGTAATAGACAAAATGGACTTTCTTAATTTATTTATGTACTATTTTATTTATTTTCCCCATGATAAGGGTACACTTTAATCTCTATCCCCTATTTCCCCCACCCCTCACTCACCTCCCCTCTGGTAACCATCAGTTTGTTCTCTATACTTAAGAGTCTGTTTCTTGGTTTGTCTTTCTCTCATTTTTATTTTTCCTTTGTTTATTTGTTTTGTTTTTTAAATTCTACATACGAGTGAGATCATATGGTATTTGTCTTTCTCTGACTAACTTATTCCTCTTAGCATTATATTCTCTATGTTGCTGCAAATGGCAAGATTTCATTCTTTTTTATGGATGAATAATATTCCATTATATATAATTACCACACCTTCTTTATCCATTTATCTATCAATGGATACTGGGCTGTTTCCACAGTTTGGCTACTGTAAATAATGCTTCTATAAACACAGAAGTACATGTATCTCTTTGAATTAGTGTTTTTGTATTTTGGGGGTAAACGCCCAGTAGTAGTGTATTTACTGGGTCATAAGGTAGTTCTATTTTTAATTTTTTGAGGAACCTTCACAGCATTTCTCACAGTGACTATACCAGTTTGCATTCCAAGTTTACCATGCAAGAGGATTCCTTTTTCTCCACATCATCCTCAACACTTAATGTTTTTGATTTTAGCCATTCTGACAGGTGTGAGGTGGTATTTCATTGTGGTTTTGAGCTGCATTTCTTTGATGATTAGTGATGTTGAACATCTTTTCATATGTCTGTTGGTCATCGGTATGTCTCATTTGGAGAAATGTCTGTTCATGACTTCTGCCAATTTTTTAATTGCATTATTTGTTTTTTGGGTGTTAAGCTGTATCAGTTCTTTATATATTTGAGACACTAACCCTTTATCAGATATATCATTTGCAAATATATTCTCCCGTTCAGTAGGCTGCCTTTTAGTTTTGGTGCTTGTTAGAAAATAAACATTAGCTCCAACTTTGCTAAACATTGAACCAAATATAAACTCTGCTGGCAAAGTCCATGGGGCTCCCAGCCTCAGATTTCTAGTTATCACTTCATCACTGCACTCACTACTCTACTGCAGGTTGGGAATAAGTGCTAACAAGAAAACTCAAAACTGACATGTATCTGGATTCATACTGGGGCCAGTCTAGGAGAATTACTGGTCTGGTAGAACTATTAGTTTTTACCCTAAAAACTGGCCTCCTATGGCCCATGGTTTGCTACACTTCCATTCCAAAACCCTCTGGGCTTCTCCAATACTGCACTAATACCAGGCCCAGCCATATCCAAGAGCCTACTCTGTACAGTGCACTATGCTAAGCTCCATTTTCTATTTTCTTTCCCCTCTATCAGTATGTCAAACTTCAGTGTGCATCAGAATCATGTAGAGGGCCTGTTAAAACACAGACTGCAGAGTTTGTGATTCAGTAGACCTGAAGTCGGGCCTGAGTATCTCCTTTCTAACAATTTCCCAGACGATGCTGATGTTGGTAGTCTGGGGTCCACGCTTTGAGAACTACTGCATTTCATAACGGGAAAACAGCAAGAATCACTCAAATGGGCTGGGGTCCAAGATTTAACATTTCATAGCCATATACCCTGGGGCAAGTTTTCCTCACCCATAAACCAAGTAATATCTAACATACGTGGTTTCAACAGCCTACCACATATAAAGTTCCAAACAGTGCCTCACACATAAGGAACATCCCACGCCCTCCCCAGTACGAACTCTAATGATCCCTCCTCATTGTATTTCAGTATTATTTGGCATAATTTTACCCTGATTTCTCTGTTACTTCCATAATGCCTCCCATCAGTACATACTACTATATTTCTCCTCTATCCTAACAAACGTCTAACAGACTTCTCATTTATCCTGTAATAAATATCTGGGTGTTAACACTAGATCTCTTTTCCAGCAGAGTTTAGCCTCTTTACTAGCTGTTTTATATTATCATCCATACCTAGTCTCCTAGGGGTTATGTAAGTGAATACTACCTTCCTTCTACATTACATACTAGAATAGCTCAATTTTCCCTAGGCGAAACAATCTTTCCTTCTTCTTTTTTGTTAAAGTTGTTTTTTGTTTCTTTGGTTGGCTTTTTGTTTCTTTGTGTGTGTTTTGCTTTTTAGTTTTTGGTTTTTTGTAAATGTCTTCAGTTTGTCGGTTGGTTTGTTTTCCTACCTGGGATACCTCCCCATCCGCCTCTTATTTGTGGAAAAGACCTGGCTGACAGATCCTCATTTCTATAAAAAAATAAATAAGTAAATAAAAAAGGCAGGCCTTTCACAGCTCAGTTTACTAGTTCTACTAAATTCCCCAGGTTTCCTCTGATCATTTATCAATGAGATATTCCCCTGGAGATCAGTCTTCTAAAAAAAAAACCTTTTGTACTTTTAATGTTCTCAAATTCCTCTAAAACAAACAACAAGAAAAGCAACTCTCAATAAGGAAACAGAAAAGGTATCCCCTTCACAGCCATGTTTCCCCTTCTCTGTAAACAAAGAAACACACTATGACAGACATACCCATTATAGAAAAAAAACTCTTCTTAGTAATGAAAAAAACTGTCAAATCTGCTATGCTGTGCTTGTACATGGCCCCTCAAAAGAAACATAAATATGTATAAACATATTTTTCTGTTGTTTCATAGAACATGTTTATATAAAGCATTGGCAAACAGGAAGAAATCATTGTCCAAGTGGCAGAGTATTAATAAGGCCAAAACGTATCCTTAAAACAATCAATTATATACACAAACTCAGTAATTATGTAACCAAACTTCAACTTCCTTGTGTAGACTGCAGATTGTGGCGGTAGGATCGTTGGTATTTTTATGAAAAATGTACTTTAGTCACATATTCTAACATGTCTGCGAATTAAAAGATATACTGTACCTTCACAGTATAATTGAAGTATTTGGCTGACTGCATAAATCGATGGAATCCATCACTTTCTTTTGTTGCTACAGTTATGACTAATAATTTATCTGTAAAGACAGAAGGGACTAACATAAGATGGTTTTGCAAGAGGTTAAATGCTCCCACTTTACAACCCACTACAGTGATTAGAGTCATTAAACCTACCCGCCTACCTCCTATTCATTTTCGTAATGAAAAGTCTTAGTAGCCACAACAACATATACATCGTCTTCACTGCTTTGTTGTTTATTTAGCAAATAAAGGAACCAAAATCAGGGCTGCCCTAGTAAATACACAGCTTTTAGTCACCATTCTATAATGGACAATTATTTTCAGTCCGACATAAAACCATTTGTCAGTAGGAGGAGGCAGACTTAAGTAATCATTCAAAACATCCATAAAAGCTATTAAGGAGAATGCTTATCAGGAAAAGGCAGGCAGAAAAATGTATAAAAGAACAAAGTATATTAGCAAATATCAAAAGTGCTGGGACATTTCTTTTAACCTGAGGACACAGGAGGACTCACGGACTAAAAAAGCAAAAGTCAACATCTTTATAACATTCAATGCATTGAGCTGTACCGTTTGTCACCTGCATGTTGCTACCAATAACACAAAACTCACAAGGTATTAAATGTCTGCTAGGCAATAGGCAATTATTGGAAATAGCACTAATGCATTACAGAATTCAATTAGAAATAATTTCATATAAATCAAAGTAATTTTCCATCAAATTTTAAAAATAATTAAAATAATAAAATATAAATAGGTGCAATACACATGAAGAAATAATAAATTCAAACATTCACTAGTCAACTAAAGAAAGGAAAACGTTTCCATAAAGATAAATATCAACGTCCTTAGATTTTTTTCTGGAAAAAGGTATTTCTCACATAATTTTCACCACTATGAGAAATAAATATTCAAGGAAAAATAAGTTACTTTCATAAAGTTGACGGCAGCAGGTAAATATATTTTAAGAGCACTTTTGTAATTATTTTTTTTAAGGACCAAGTTGTCTTTTTTTTTTTTTTTTTAGAGAGAGTGCGCGCATGCAAGCGCACATACACACAAACACACACACTTGCACGCACACGAGCAGGCGAGGAGCACAGAGAGAGGAAGATGGAGAATCTGAAGTGGGCTCCATGCTAACAGCAGCAAGCCTGACGTAGAGTTCGAACTCACAAACCATGAAATCATGACCTGAGCCGAATCAAGAGACAGACACCTAACCGGCTGAACCATCTGGGTACCCAATTAACTGCTATTTTTTAAGAAACAAATTAGCTGTTATTTTTTAAGAAACAAAATTCAATTTGTAAATTTTCAAGCAGGGCTTAACTAAGAAAATATGACATACTACCATTCACAATAAATTTTAAAATGGAGACTACCAGATTTTATAAAAGAGCATACTTTAAAGTCTCTTTTCTCTGTAATAAAATTACTGTATTTAAAGATACCTTTCTTATCTTAACCTTCTATACATAGGTCATAAGAATTATCTACGAGTTTACATTTTGGTTAGATGGATTTTTACGCTTACCATTTTCAGTATAAAATTAGCAGCAAGGATTTCATCATCCTTAATAGGAAAAGTAATGTTGGCCAGACCACTGAGTAGACAGAAACGTTACACTAATCCAATGACTCAGAAGGCAAAGTTAAAAATGGGTAGTCTATGTCTGGCAATCTTATGCCAAATAAGGACTCCTATTGTTTCATTATTGTTGCTAATTACAAAAAAAAAAAACAAATAGTGAATTAGTAACTTTGTTTTAAAAAAATGTATGATTAATAGCATTACATATAAATTTCTGTTTCCTGGGGCGCCTGGGTGGCGCAGTCGGTTAAGCGTCCGACTTCAGCCAGGTCACGATCTCGCGGTCCGTGAGTTCGAGCCCCGCGTCAGGCTCTGGGCTGATGGCTCGGAGCCTGGAGCCTGTTTCCGATTCTGTGTCTCCCTCTCTCTCTGCCCCTCCCCCGTTCATGCTCTGTCTCTCTCTGTCCCAAAAATAAACAAACGTTGAAAAAAAAAAATTTTTTTTTAATAAAATAAAATAAAATAAATTTCTGTTTCCTTTCATCTGCTATTCAGTATCATTACTGTGATAAGAAACAAGTCTTATTTATAATAAATATATAATAAATATATTAGTATATTTATTATATATTAATATATAATGTTATATTATAAAAATATAGTATATAATAAATATAATAAATATTAATATTGTAAATATACTCTATAATGTATTGATATAATATATAAAATATAATATATAATAAATATATTTATTATAAATAAGATTTATTTCTTATCAGTTCAAAAGTCTAACTTTTTCACCATTTATGAAATTTTCTTGTCAAAAACTTTAACCTAAATTTGATATATACTTAGATTTCACAATTAACCTATAGAATCAGTGACAAAAGGGAAAAAAAATGGAAGGGAAATGGATACAGTATATTAACAGAATTAAGAGACAATTCAACCACATGTAAACCATGAACTTTATTTGGGTCCTGATTTAAAAAACTAACTGCAGAAAAGTATTTCTAAGAAAATTAGGAAAATCTGAACATGAATTGGATATTTGTTGACATTAGAAATTAGTTAATTTTTTATCATGTTAATGGCATTGACTTTTTTAGAGTCCTTATAATTTAGAGACACATACTTAAGTATTTACCCAATGAAATAATATACAGTATTTACAATTTGTTTTAAAATTATCTGAGGTTGATGGGAGGCAATGGAGGAGGAGGATAAAGGTTAAACAAGACTGGCCATATGGAATGACTATTAAAAATGGATTCTTTTTGTGTATGTTTGGAAACTCCTACAATTAAAAGAGAGTTCAACTTCATCTACAATCCCTCATTTTCCAATCAAAAAAATTACAGAAAAATAGGCAATAGAAAACTTTTAACGGTCTAAATCATCTAAGTAAGAGGAAGGATGAAATAGCAGAAATTCTAACTAAACCATATTGTAATTTAAGCAACTATCGTGAGTACATTACTCAATCCACCCACCACAACCAAAACGATAATATGAGATGATTGAGCAAGGAAATGAGCTTGAATAAAAGGCATCCATTAACAATTACCAAAATCAATCTACAATGGTGTCAAAGAAAAGACAAATGGAACCTCAACTGTGACCAAATGGAACCTCTGTTGCCACTGTCTGATCCTATTACAAAATAGATTAATACAGTTTGCATGGGCAAGAAACATGTAACACACCTATAGAGTGCGGTAGATTAGAACAACCATTTATCAGTGAAAATCACATCATGGCAAAAAACAAAAACTTCTGTCCTCATCTCTACAATCCCCCAAATGCCTATCATTATAGTAAGATTTAATAAATACTGAAGTGTTTAAATATATAGCACTCTATAAAAATTCAGGTGAATATCAGAAATTCTCCAAAAATCAAGTTGTCGATTTATTTAAAAATGCCAAAACATGCTATATTCTCTCTTATTAATACACTTCTGGGGGCTGTGGGAATGCGCTGTTAAAGAGCTATCTTTTGGGGCACCTGGGTGGCTCAGTTGGTTGAGCGTCCAACTTCGGCTCAGGTCATGATCTCACGGCTCATGAGTTCGGGCCCCGCGTCGGGCTCTGTGCTGACAGCTCGGAGCCTGGAGCCTGCTTCAGATTCTGTGCCTCCCTGTCTCTCTGCCCCAACCCACTCACATTCTGTCTCTGTCTCTCTCAAAAATAAATAAACATTAAAAAAAAGTTTTTAAAAAAAAGAGCTATCTTTTTTCTCCAAATATATCAATATTTAGTGCAATTTTTGTTTTCAAAGACAAACATGAGTTTAAAATAGAAAGTGTTTTGTTAATATATCCTGTTTCCAAATTCTAAAGCAGCACATAAAATTCATCCGAAATTCATTATCTTAATGACAGACATCACATTAAGTAACTCAGCATCAGCCCAGCTGCTTTTGATCCCAATACTGAAGGATAACTCTCCTATCTTTCCAAGAAACTACACAGTCATACCAGTCCTTAATTTTAAATTGGAAAATATCAAGAAAAATAATTCTACAACAGGACCTATGAGTATACTGTTTTCACTCTGCAACTAACTCATTTTATGACCAGATATGTCCTTCGTCTATAAAGATCAGTGACTCTCACTGATCTACTAAAGGAAGGTATCTTCTTAGTAATGGTTAGCATAGTGCAGGGGCCAGCAAACTTTTTCACTGTAAAAGGCCAAATTGTAAATATTTTAGGCTTTGTGGACCACATATAATCTCTGTCATGATTTTTTCTTTTTTTAAAATACTTTTTAAATGTTATATTTATATATAAATATACATATATACAACACATATAACATACATATATGTATGTATTTGGTTTCTGGCTGTCTTTACAAAAACAATGGGCCAAATTTGGCCTAAGAGTCGTAGTTTGCCACTGTAGTTGGCCATATGAATCTGAAGACAAATACCTGGGTTCAAATTGTAACTCTACCATTTATTTGTTAGAAGTTGGCCACCTATGTGTGTCTCATCTGTATCTCATCTATAATATGTGTGTAAGAACAGCTCCTGCCTGACAGGTTTGCTGTGATAATTAAATTAGTTAATATATGCAAACTGGCTGACACACTGTAAGGTCTACATATATCTACATATATAGTATCTTCTTATTCCTACTCAATAGATGCATAGATAAGGTGGGCTATATTAGTGAAATCTCAGCAGATTATAACTCCATCTCTTTCTCTACTAGAGTTATACACTCACGAATCTGATATCTCTTCCAACTCTAGATTTTATGATGCTAGTCATGACTGAAGCACACATACCCAACCTATATAAAAACAGTCTGCTTAAAAGTATCCATTCAAATATTTTAACAAGAAAATGCAGATATGCCCTCTCAAATGTTTACATGTCTCTCCATCTCCAAGCAAGCTATAATACTAACTCAAATTATGGTCATCACTAGCCCAGGCTTCTACAACAGCCTCCTAAACCCACTTAACCCACTCTAGTCATATCTCCACAAAGCAGCCAGAGTGAACTTTT